ATTATTAAGTTGATTTTAGTTATAAATATGAGATTTATTTTTTATATTTATTAATTTTTTCTAAATTACTTTTATGAATACTTTCTCAACTATAATCAAATAAAAGGGGGAGAGAGGATATTAAAGAAGATAATTATAGTGTTTTAGGAAAAATATCCTATTTTTTATAATTAACTAAATTATCTAACTTCTTTAGTCTAATCAAATTAGTTAAATATGTATTATATTAAGAATTGGAGAAGTATCATTTTGCTCTTTCGTTAAAAAAATAAAGTATAATTGCATGGTTGAATTAGCTAATAGGAAAGCTTAGGAAAAAAAAAAAGTATATAAATTGGAGATAAAACAAATTAAGATGTCATACTCAAAATTAAAATAACCATCGCTAGGTTGCTCCTACGTTTAGGTTAAGAAGGGGTGTAACAAGACAATGGCTATTCCTTCATATGGCAATAAAGTAGAGGATCAAATTGCTGCCTACCCTTATTTGGTTTTAAAAAAAGAAAAAGCATTCCCCTCTCCGTTCCTTTTTTTGGTTTAGCATAAAATAGAGAGAAGTGGATGGAAATTTTTAATATGATTTTTTTTTCTTTTCCAAATTTGAGGGATTTGGAATTATCATCATAATCAACTAGTTTCCCAACAAATTGGCAATTAACAATCAAATAATTTTTTTTGCCACAAATTAATAATCAAATAATAATTTAATATCTTCTCGCACGAGAACAATAATTTAATGGAATGTTTTCTAATAATTTAATCTACAACATCTTGAAACTTCTTCCCTGTGGGATGCACAAAGTGATACATTTGGTTAAAATTATAATTGTAATAGACTGTTTAGGCAATTAGATTCACTTAAATTAGAATATATCGTATAATCATAATAAATTGTATAAAAACATATATAAAGATTTTGGGGAAAAAAACTGCAGAATCATATCACACTACATCGACATACCTGAAAAAGCAAAGCATATTAACCCCCCAAGAAAACAAGCCATATTTTCATTCGATAAGCAGAGAATTAAAAGAAAGAAAAACTGCAAGTAACGATTATGGGCTAATTTTCTTCTAGAGAATGGCGATTGGTTTCATTGTCAACTACTTCAAAGTTTTCAAAGTGATATTCACAGGTTTCATCTACTAACTAAACATGACTTCTTTATTTGAGTACCCCGTGCAAAGTTTCCAGGTTGAGTTGGTGAATAGACCTTAAATAAAGAAGTCATGTTGACCACCTGCTCACCTAGTCATGTCCCATTCAGAATCATTCCAATCTAGCAAGGAGTGTATGGTGAAACCTATGGCAATCCACTTCCTTGGAACACATGCCACAATAAGAGATAAGGCATATTATGTAGATGATTTTATTAATTGGGCAAAAACTGAAGAAACTAAAGAAAAGACTTTTTGAAAGCATATAACATTTTCCTTGGTGCCAAAAAACCAAATATAGTATTACACAATGTAGGTAAGAAGATATGTTAATGTTAGAACTCGAAATGAAGTGCCATAGAAGTACGTCCACTGAGAATAAATGGGTAGAGCGGCTAGATTGTTGCGAGCCATTAAACCTATTGTTGTAATAAGAACAAGTTTGCTATACTTTCTCATTTTAGGACCAGAAATTCTCAAGATTCTTGTCTTTCTTTGTGTGTGATAGAGGAGGGGGACGTGGGTTCATCTGGGGGGAGATGGAGTTCAAGGAAGAAATACATTCGCGACACTTATCTCAAGGTATATGCTGGGACCATTTGGAGGAATCAATTTGTCTGGATTAATTTTGGAATGCTTACATTTACTGAACGTGGAATGGAGAATGTTGAACGCCTATATCTGTACTAATGAACTTGAGATTATTGCTTTCCCTAGACCCAAACCTGGTTATAGTTTTAGGATTTTCAATTACGTAGAAAGTCTTGTACCAGTCGGCAACGTTCAAATTAAAGAGCCTTAATCCTCAAAGTTAATTATTACATTGCGGATTTATATTTTACGTTGTTTAAATATTTTTGATAGGAATGTATTCCTGTCAGTCTGGCTTCAGATCATTCTATATAAGGTTTGATGCTTTCTAGAGATGTTATGCAGAATGATAAATGCAGATATTTCCTGTTTTATTTGATCTATCTGTAATATCATGCTGGTGTATGATTATGTGGGACTTTTTATATGATATCTGATCACATTGTGATCTCTGTAGAATCTGGAGATTTCCAATCAACAAGTCATGGGCAATATCTCTTATGGAATTTTCTGTAATACATAGGAAAAAAGTGTTAGCAAGAGGGTATGTGATCTCTGAGTATTGGAACCGTTATGAAGAAGCTGTTTAAGAGTACTACCTCCGGTTCTTAATATAAGACCCTGTTTAATTTTTATTTTGGTCCTAAATATAAGATTCCAATCCACTTTGTCTCTCATATTTATACAATTTTTTTTCTAAAGTAGCCCTTCTAATAATAAGAATTCTAGCCAATACACTTGATTAGCAAGGATATTTTAGGAAAGACAATACCTATTTAGGACAAATAACTAACTCAATTTACTTCTTTAATCTCCTCAAATTAGTCAACTGGTTCTTATAATTAGGACTGGAGGTAATACTATATAAGCATAAGAAATACTAGGTCCATTCTTTGACAGCGATAGTCAATAGATATTGGTTTGTCTTTTCTTTGTAGAATTGTACATTTTGGAGCATATCTATGCATATACATATATATGGAAAGGAATGGTGTTTTGATGTTTCCTTACTGTGCCTCAGATTTGCTTGGTTGGAAATACTTTTCATGATCTTGAACTAAGATTTAACTGTGATTTTGGTAAGCCCCCAAAAAATATGAGGGGGGGAAAAATTCTCCTTGCTTAAAGATGGAGGGGTTCGATCTAAATCAATTATAGATTAATGTAACATACAAAATACAAATAAAATACTACGTATTATTCTATTTATAAGTTCAGAAACAAACAATTCCTGAATTATATAAATCAATGAAGTTGCTTTTCGGTTTTGCCTAGTTGGAATGCGAGGGAGGTAAGAAGGTCATTTTTGCAGAGTTCGAACTTTTAAAAATTATCTTAAAAACAGTTGTTTACTTTACTTTTCACGACTTGACAGAGCATATATAAGGTTTTTTAAAATGTATTAGCTCCATCATATTATAAATAAGAAATTATAATTCAAACTGAAAATTGAAAATGCCATAGCAATGGAAATGGTAACGCAGCGGATGCTTCCGAGACTGGAAAATTGTTGGGTTTCAGTGACTTCAATTTAACAAATTGATGAGGTGGGGTTTTAAAATTTTAATAACAAGAAGACATAAGATTAAAAAAATTTTTAATTAAATGCTTTTAATTGTATTTCAATTTTCAAAACAAACCTATGAACTTAATCATGTTTAAAGAATTATCAAGCATTAAATGTACACACTTTTTCTAACGGGGATTTAAACTTTAGTTCATTAACAGACCAACTGATTCCATTATACCCCACCCTATTGATTAGCGTTTGCTTTAGATATTTGAGCCTTAATTACCTCACTATTGAATTAACAGTGGGTTATTTCAACCCATTAGCCATTTCGATATCCATATTTTGTTGGGGCTATGCTCTCTGCATTTGCAGGAACAAGTCTATTGTTTACTTTGTTAGTTTGGGTTGCACCCCCCCCCCCAAAAAAAAAACTTGGGCCCTTTTTGGTTTTTCTTTACTTTCTACAGCTGTTTTTATTTACCGTATTAGGGCCTGTTTACCATATAAACTTATAAGTAGTTTATAAGTAGCTTTTCAATAATAATTTATAAAATACAAGACAAGTATGTGATAAGAGTTTTGTCTCAATTTATATGAAACGTACTTATAAGAGATTTTTTAAATCCTCCCAAACAGACCCTTAGTAGGAGGACTTAGACTCAGGTTTTAGTCTTCTTTTTTTCTGGAAATTTTTTTTCAGCCTAACACATCTACAAATGACAATATGACTTTAAAATCTCATTAATTAATTAAAATCATAGATTGGAAATTAGCTACATTTCCTTTTAATATTACTCATGGATTCATCACGTGCCTTCACTGCGTCATAAGGGAAAGAAAAGGACAAGAACATTTTATCGGAGGGGGGAAAAAAAACAAAGGGCAAATTTCACTGTAGGACCGCAGAAGACAATTAATTTCAAAGAGCCCCCAAAACTTTTTGAAATTTCACTGCAAGACCAAGGGGCAAACTGATATTAATTCCACAAAGAAAATGACCCTATTGCCCCTCATGTGAACAAGTATGGGAGAACCCATTTGCAAGTGAGGTTAGATAATTTACAGCATGCATAAATATATTTACAATTAAAATTAGTCCATTTACATATTACCTTCTTCACCTGAAGAATGTGTCTGAGTGAACAAGTGTGGACAGCCCATTTGCAGGTGAGACTAGACAATTTGCAACATACATAGATTTATTTACAACTGGAATTAGTTCATTTACATGTCACTTCGTTCATCTGAAAAAGGTCTCCGTGAGTAAACAAGTGTGGGAGCGTCCATTTGCAAGTGGAATTAGTCAATTTGCAACATACATACATTTATTTACAATTAGAATTAGTCCATTTACATATCACCTCATTCACGTGAAAAAGGTGCCTGTGAGTGAATAAGTGTGAGAGAACCCATTTGCAAGTGGGACTAGTTAATTTGCAACATACATACCTTTATTTACAACTGAAATTAGTCCATTTATATGTCACCCTGCAATAAGTATTATGAGGGGCAATAGCGTCATTTTCTTTGTGGAATTAATATCAGTTTGCCCCTTGGTCTTGCAGTGAAGTTTCAGAAAGTTTTGGAGGCTCTTTGAAATTAATTGTCTTTTGTGGTCCTACAGTGAAATTTTCCCAAAAACAAAAGGAAGAAAAAAAGATAAAAAGAAAAAGAAAACGATTTACGCATAAATACTTGGACGCGGCTTTCTGCCCATGCCGAATCTCTCCCGTAAAACCTAGAATGCTCTCATTTGATAGCGACGGCTTTCGTCTGTGCCTGTGAGTGTCCTTCGGGTCGACAACCATGAAGCAGACGGTGATGAGTGACGCCGCGCCCTTCCTTCCCAAAGAAATAATGACCAATATTCTCAAGCGCCTTCCGGTGAAATCCCTTATGCGATTCCGATGTGTCTGCAAGCATTGGAAAGATCTCTTCAAGACCCCGTCTTTTATCTCTGACCACCTCTGCCACGTCAGTCATCAAAACCCTTCTGTTCTGTTTTTCCAGAGTTATGGAGCTAATCCTTTGCAGTTACGTTTGCTCGATTGCGAGATGCAAGTCCGTGATGTTCAGAAGGCACCTCAGTTCGATTCCTCGCCGAGCATGTCCGTTAACATCATTGGTTCCTGCAACGGTTTGCTCTGTGTTGAAGTCTTGCGGCGTGGCATAACTCCTAAGTCCCTTTTACTTTGGAATCCTGCGACTAGAGATGTCAGAGAGGTGCCTAGCTCCAGAGCTATCGATTATGGTGGGTGTAATTGTCTGTTAGGATTTGGGTTCAGTCCATTAGTTAATGATTACAAGATAGTGGCAATCGCTGTTGATTATAGTGATATAACGGTTCGTGGAGCGGAAGCCTATTCATTAAGTAGAGATTCATGGAAGGAAATAGAAGTTGAAAACTTAGAGGATGTAACTCCTTATCGTGATAGTGTCTCCTCTAATGGGGCTATTTTTTGGTATGGGTCAACACCAGGCGAGGAGGAGGAAGAGGAGGGGGAGGAGGAGGAAGAAGCTGATGGAGTTATAGTTTCATTTGATATAGCAATGGAGGTGTTTACTTTGATACCATGGCCTCCATTATCCGGTAATCCAAGTTTTACCTTAACTGTGTATGAGGACAACATTGCCATGATTACTGAACTTGGAATTGGAGACTTCCCAACCATTGAATCTTCAATCATTGAATTGTGGGTGGTGGAGGAAGACATTGATTCATCTGGGGAGGGATGGAATTGGACTAGGAAATTCACCAGCGGCCCTTGTCCTTGGACATTTCATCCTGGGACCATTTGGAGGGATGAAATTGTCACGTCTGGAACTGAAATTGATCGTGAAACACTGGAAGATGGACCAAGAAGTGGTCTATGTATGTTCAATGTCACTACCAATGAATTTAAGATGCTTCCTATCCCCAATCATTGCTCTTGTTGTGTTTTTCTTAATTATGTGGAAAGCATTGTGCCAGTTGCTAGCATCCAGAATATTGAAGAGCGTTGATTTTAAAGGCTCACTATTATATTGCAGATGTGCCTTGTATAAGTATTTTTGGTAGAAATGAATCTATGGCATTTTAGATCATTATCTACTTGCAAGTTTATTTAGTGATGTTATCTACAATGATGAATTCAGGTATTGAATGCTTTATGTTTCTTGTTTTATTTGAAGGTTGTGCAGTCTCTGTGTTTTTCTTTCTTATCTTTTCAGATGGATATATAAGACGAGAGTTGTTTAAGTGCTAGTGTATGAGTACAACTCAGCACACCAAACCTGTTTTTCTATGCTTTTGCATGAAGTATCAATTGCTTGTCTTGCATTAGAGGAGATGAATACACAAGCTGATGCTGCTCTGCATTGGACTCTTCAAATTTCACTGCTTTTCCAAATAACATTCAAGGTTAGCGAAATTGAATATTGGGAAATAAGCAAAGCAGAAATTAATAGAAATTGGTTCATTCATCCCTTTTTCCCATTCAATTTCTGTCTCTATACACAATGACAAAGAAGTTTCTTTTGAAATGTCTATGCAACAGAAATAATATAGGTTAATAGCTGATGTGCTACTTGTTTCCAGACATTCATGTGGTTAGAAGTTATTTAGACCCTTCTTGAGAAAACCTCCTGCTGCAACTAATTGGATTAGTTTAATATGCTTGTCAGATATTTATCTGTCATTTTAATTCATTTCCCTTTCACTCTTTCTAATGGATTCTCACTCTTCTGTTATGTGCATAATCTGAAGTAGCCTATTAACACATTTTCTGTCTGAATTGGTGCATTAATTGATTGGTGATAAACCTTGCATTAATTGATGTCTGACCACATTGTAATCTCTATAGCATCCAAAGATTTCCAATGAACAAGTCATGGGCAATATCTGTTATGAAATTTCCTGTAATACATAAGAAAAGGGTGTTTTGTTATAAAAGCAAGAGGTTACGTGATCTTTGAATATTTGATATTTTGAGTTCGTATTTTTCTGGAACCGTTACGAAGAAGCTGTTTCAGAGGACTCTATTAGCATAAGAAATACTAGGTCCATTCTTTGACAGAGGTCAGTAGATATTGGTTTGTCTTTTTTTTTTTTTTTTTTTTTTGGGAGAAAGGTACATTTTTGGAGCATATATATGTACATATATACACATATATGGAAAATAATGGTGTTTTGTTTTTATATCAAGGCCACATTGATGTTTCCTTAGTGTGCCTCACATTTGCTTGGTTGGAAGTACTCTGTATCATCTTGAACTAGGATTTAACTTTGATTTTTTTGATTTTTTCTGTTAAAAGTGCTTACTACTTAATTGAAAAACCGTCTCCAAACTTTTACAGTCACGATTGTTAGGTAATCTGAAAATGGAAAAATGCATAAAGGCTAAGTTTTCTTTGGTTAGCTTCCAACTAACGAGTGGAGAAGTAAGTGGTCAACTGATTCTTTTCTGCTGATCTCAAGGACTGAATAGCTATGAATCTAAGTGGAAATATGGGAATGAATCTGAAGGTTTCCTGGTTATCATTTGGATTTCATGGTTATGGAGGGATAAGTTTTGGTGCAATGATGATTTTCAAAAAGCCTAAGAATCCGGCTGCTGTTGGAAATCTTTTGCTGATCTCAAAGAAGCTCCTAAACTCCACAGTAACAACCATGCCCCTGCTAAGATAATTGGTTTGTTGGCTTCGCCCAATCTCTTGGCAACTGTATAGTACCAGAAGCAGAGGAATGGGCCATTTACAGAGGGACTTCGGCTTTAAACAAGTAATTGTTGAGGCAGATGCTAAGGTCCTAGCTGATAAAAGTTTCAACAATAGCTGCAGCCTAGTCTTCACTCAAAAGAATTGCCAATTCTTTCCACTATATTGTAGGTTGTTGAGTACCACAAGAAAATATTTTTAAGAGTTAACAAGAAAAATAAAAGAAATGCATTCCCATCTTTTTATATAATTAAAATAAGATGGGGGAAGTAGATTAACAATTTTAATGAATTTTTTCTCTCGTCTACTTATCAATAAAGGGTTTTGGAAGTAGTACTCTTCCAGTTTTAAATATAAGATTTTTTTTGTTAATGTGATGATATCTCCATTATCTTATATGTTTTCTTTTTAATTTCATTAGACTCCTTAATACTTCACAAAATGTTTATAAGATTAGTGATAAAAAAAATCCACTAAAAAGCTAAATCCTTTTTCTGGGAAAAAAGAAGAAGACTAAAGAACATCATATCAATAAATTGATTTTACTTAATACTACCTTCAGTCCTAATTATAAGAGCTAATTGACTAATTTGAAGAGATTAAGAAAATAAATTAAATTATTTATTTGTAATAAATAGGTGTTGTTTTTTCGTAAAATATTATTGCTAATTAAGTATGTTGGCTAGAATTATCATTGTTAGAAGGATTATCTTAGGAAAAAATATATAAATATGAGAGACAAAACAGATTAGGGTCTTATATTTAGGATCAAAATAAAAGTTAAATAAGGTCTTATATTAAATACCGGAGGTAGTATGTAATTATGGGCCCAAAGAGAAAAGAAAGGAAAAATTACAATAAGGTCCTATTCAAGAAAATTAAATATAAGAAGATCCTTGGAAATCATCAAATTATTTTAAAGTTTTAAAGGAACTCATTGCAATGAATTTTATTTGTTTAATTACCAATTTGTCCTCTCTTTTTTTTTTGAGAGTTTATATTGATAACTGAAAAAGCAGTCGTTGACAATTTAAGTTGTAAAAGACTGACAACTATCACGACAGGGGTTGATAAGACTTTTTCTCAGCATATCACAAAATGTAATGTGTAAGTTGTCAATACTTGTCGTGATAATTGTCAGTCTTTACATTCTAAGTTGTCAACGACTATTTTTTTAGTTGTCAATATAAATTTTAAAGAAAAAATAATGATAATTTGATAATTAAATAAATAATTTTTCTTATAATAAGGTCACTTGAGACTTTAAAATTATTTGATGATTTTAAAGAATTTTTTTATATTTAATTCTCTTATCTGCGACTTTGAGCAATTTTTCTGAGAAGAAAACCAAAACTGATTTATCGTTAAAAAAAAAAAAAAAAAATACTCACTCCGCAAACGGAAATGAAGACCCGGGACTCCACAATCTACTTGCCCGAGTCTCCACTGAAACACTAAAATGCTCTCATTTTGGGGCGGGGGTTTTTCTTCTTCTGAGTCGACAACCATGAAGCAGACGGGGATGAATGGCGCCACACCATCCCTTCCCGAAGAAATCATAACCAAGATTCTGAAGCGGCTTCCGGTGAAATCCCTAATGCGGTTTCAGTGCGTCTGCAAACGTTGGAAAATTCTCTTCAAGACCCCATTGTTCATCCAAGAACATCTCTGCCACTCCACTTTTCAAAACCCTTGTCTTGTCATGGGACAGTCTAATCCCAGTTATCCTTTCTACTTATATTTGCTCGATTGCAAGATGCAGTTTCATGAGTTTGAGAGCGCACCTTTGGCCGGTTCCTTGTTGGGCTTTTTCCTCGTCGGTTCCTGCAATGGCTTGCTATGCTTCGCTGATTTGAAAAAACATCCTCCTGCCCCTTTATTGTGGAATCCGGCGACTAGAAAGGTGAGACAAGTGCCCATAATGACTTTGGATGATTTTTCGGATTTGGACTGGTTTTTGGGGTTCGGGTTCAGTCCTATTATTAATGATTATAAGATAGTAAGATTGACCCAGGTTGACGCTGTTTGTGGAGTGGAAGCGTATTCATTAGGCATTGGGTCTTGGAGAAACATACAATTTGACAACATAAAAGATGTTTACATCGAACGTTCTGGTGTCACTGCTAATGGAGTTATGTTTTGGTATGGGTCAAAGGCAGATCTTGGTTATGTGATAGTTTCATTTGATTTAGCAACCGAAGTGTTCACAGTGATGCCATGGCCTGCTTTTGTTAGGGAATCATGTTTGTTTACTGTGTATGAGAACAAGCTGGCTATATTTTCTCATTCTAGAGCCAGTAATTCTCGAGATTCTTGTCTTTCGTTGACTGTGATGGAGGAGGGGGGCATGGGCTCATCTGGGGGGAGATGGAGTTCAAGTAAGAAATATACTTGCAACTCTTATGTCCCATTTTGTCTATTGTGCCAGCCTTATGTCGAGGTATATACTGGAACCATTTGGAGGAATCAGATTGTGTGGAGTAATTTTAGAATGGCTGCATTTATGGAACGTGAAATGGGAAATGTAGAACCCCTATATCTGATCAATGTCACTACTGGTGAACTTAAGATTATTGAATTCCCTCGACGCAAACCTGGCTATGGTTTCACTGTTTCCAATTACGTGGAAAGTCTTGTACCACTTGGCAACGTTCAAATTGAAGAGCCTTAATCTTCAAGGTTAATTATTACCATGCAGCTGTACGTTGTTTAAGTATTTTTGAGAGCAATGTATTCCTATCAGTTTAGACTTAAGATCATTGTATATAGGGTTTGATGCCTTCTGGAGATGTTATGCAGAATGATAAATGGAGATATTTTCTGTTTGATTTTACCCATTTATAATCTCATGCTATCCTTTTTGTTTTTCAAAGATGGATGTATAACGTTATTTCATTGCTGGTGTAGGATTATTTGGGACTTTTTATATGATATGTGGTATCATTGTAATCTCTATGCTCTGCAGTATCCAAAGATCTCCAATCGACAGGTCATGCAATATCTGTTATGAAATTTTCTGCAAGACATAAGAAAAAATGTGTTTTTGTTACAAGAGCAAGAGGTTATGTGATCTCTGAATTTTGATATTTTGGGTTCGTATTTCTCTAGAACCTCAAGGAAGAAGCTGTTTAAGAGTACTCTGTTGGCACAAGAAATACTAGGTCTATTCTTTGACAGAGAAAGTCAATAGATATTGGTTTGTCTTTTCTTTGTATATGGAAAAGTGCATTTTTGGAGCGCACATATATAGAGTGGTGTTTTGGTTTTATATCAAGCCCACATTGATGTTTTCTCACTGTGCCTCACATTTGCTTGGTTGGAAATACTTTGTATTATCTTGAACTAATAAGATTTAGTTGTGATTTTCGTAAACCCCCAAAAAATGTAACACATAAAATCTCCTTGCTTAAACATGACGGAGTTCAATCCACATCAATTATTGATTAATATAACATGCTAAATACAAATAAAATACTACGAATTATTCTATCTATAAGTTGGGAAACAAATAATTCTCGATTGTATAACTCGTTGAAGTTGCTTTGCGAGGTTGCCTACTTGGAAAGCGAGGGAGGTAAAATGGTAATTTTTTAAAAAATAAATCAGCTCCGTGATGGTATTGTAAACAAGAAATTATAATTCAAATTGAAAATTGAAAATTCCATACCAACGAAAATGGTAACTCTGGATGCTTATGAGATGGGAAAATTGTTGGGTTTCAACGGGCTTTCATCTTATTTTGGTACGAGGAAAATAGAAGAGAGGGGAGAAGGGGAAAAATTTTAACCAACCCAATTTAAAAAATTAAAAAAGTGGGATTTTAAGATTTTTAATAAAAAGAATATATAAATTAAAAGAGTAATAAAAATTAATTAAAAGCTTTTAACCTTATCTTCTTAGTTTTTTTAAAATGAGTCTATAGAGGCAAATCATGTTTAAAGTACTATTGAACACTAAAAATGGTCACTTTTTTTGAATTTGAACTTTGGTTCATTGTGTTATAAGGGTTTAACTTATACCCCATCTCTATTGATCAGTGTTTGCTTAAGATGCTTAAGACTAAATTACCTTAGGATTGAATTAACAATGGGTTATTTCAAGTTATTAGCTATATCAATGTCTATCTTTTGTTAGGGTTATGTTCTTTGTGTTTACAAGAACTAATCTATTGTTTACTTTTGGATTGTTTTGGTACAAATCAAATCATTGTTTTAAAATTAATCTTACAATATATAAAGAAAATATGTGAAAGAAAATTTGTTTTGATTTACATAAAAGCATTTTTTTAAGTGTTTTTGCTTCATACCAAATACCCCCTAGTTTGGGTTACACTTTTTTTTTTAAAAAAAATAAAAAAATTGGGTCTTTTTGGTTTGCTTTTTACTTCCTAGAACTGCTTTTGTTTGTTATATCTAGACTCAACACATTGACAAATGACAATATAGGATTTTAAATTTTTAAAATCTCGTTAATTAATTAAAATCAGAGATAGGAAATTAAGAGATTTCTTTTAATATTACAAAATTTATTGATTTATTGATTGATATTGAGCAAAATTGATCCATCTTGATATCACTTTAGCTATTAGGAGCGTCCAGTAAAATTAATTTAAGCTTTGATTTCAGTGTTATCATACGGATTAATCAACTTGAACAGAAGCTTTTGATATTTTTCAGATTATCTCTCTATTATTTTTTTTTTTTGAGCAAAAATCTATCTATTATACAGAGGACTTCCATTGCTAATATGAAAATCTGTTTGTAGGCTGCAAATAAAAGTTGTTATAATTAGAATATTCAAAGTTACAAAATTTAATCCTTGCATTGAATTGAACCGCCCCTATAAAATGCTCTCGTTTGATCGCGACGACGGCTTTTCTTCTTCTCCTTTGTCGACAACCATGAATCAGACGGTGACCGATGGCGCCGCGCCATTCCTTCCGGAAGAAATCATGAACAACATTCTCAAGCGGCTTCCGGCGAAATCCCTCGTGCGATTTCAATGTGTCTGCAAACATTGGAAAAATCTCTTCAAGACCTCATCTTTCATCACCGATCATCTCCGCCTCTCCCGTCCTCACAACCCTTCTCTTCTGTTCTTCCAGAATTATGGATCTAATTCATTGCAGTTACGTTTGCTCGATTGCGACATGCAAGTCCGTGATGTTCCGAAGGCACCTCCGTTCGATTCCTTGCCGTTCAAGCTCGTTAGCATCATTGGTTCCAGCAATGGCCTGCTGTGTGTTACAATCCATGAGAATGAGTCTGTCATCTCTCCTTCTTCCCTTTTACTGTGGAATCCGTCGACTAGAGATGTCAGAGAGGTGCCTAATTCTAGAACTATCGATTCTTGTGTGTTAGGATTTGGTTTCAGTTCATCGCTTAATGATTACAAGATAGTGGTGATTGATGGTATGGATTGTGAAGTGGAAGTATATTCATTAAAAACAGATTCATGGAAAGAAATAGAATATGTGAACTTGTTAGATGATGTATTTATTTCCCCTAACACTGTCGTCTCCTTTGATGGAGCTATCTTCTGGAATGGGCAAAAACCAGGAAACAAGAGAAAGGTGGGAGTTATAGTTTCATTTGACATAGTAATGGAAGCTTTTTCTCTCATACCATTGCCTCGAGTTCACAGCAATTCATTTATTAACTTAACAGTGTACAAGGACAAACTTGCTATACTTAGTAGTGGAGCTGGGGGCTCTTCAAACATTAATTTGTGGGTGAGGGAGGAAGACATTGGTTCATCTAGGGAGAGATGGAGTTGGACTAAGAAATTCACCAGCGGCCCTTGTCCTTGGACGTTAAATGGTGGAGGGACCATTTGGAGGAATGAAATTGTCATGTCTGGAACTGAAACATGCGGTAAACTATGGAAGAAAAAACCAGAAAGTGGTTTATGTATGCTCAATCTCACTACTAATGAATTTAAGGTGGTCGTTGTCCCCAAACATGGCTCTTATCAGTTTCTTAATCATGTGGAAAGCCTCCTGCCAGTTGTTAACTTCCCCAGCATTGAAGAACCTTGATTTTACAGGTTCATTATTATTCTGCAGGTATGCTCTGTTTAAATACTTCTGGTAGAAATGAATAAATGGCATTTCAGTTCATTTTGTATTTGCAAGGTCTGATGCCATTTATTGATGTTATCGAGGAGGATGAATTCAGGTTGAATTCTTTATGGTTGTGTTTGGTAGGGAGCATTGAAAAGTCGGAACACGAATTGTGATTCGGATTGAGAATATTTATTAAAAGAGTGTTTAGTACAAGAGATTGTTTATTATATAGGATTAGTCAAACCCACATATATGGGATTAGAGAATACCATGTAGGAAGTGATATTTCCCAATCCCACTTCTATGGGTTTGCCTAATCTCATTTAACAAGCAATTACTCATGCTAAATACTATTTTAATAATTTTTTTAATTGCAATTCCAATTCCTATCCCTCATTTTCAATGTTTTATATCAAACATAAGGTATGTTTCTTGCCTGGAAATGAATCAGCTTGTTCAGTTCAGTCACTCTGTTTTTCTTTTTTTAGGTGGATATGTAAGAGAATTATTTAAGTGATATGTATGGGTACAACTTTACATTTTACTCTTCAAAAAATTAATTGTTTTTCCTTCGATATTTTTTATACATTTTGATTGACTTCACAGGATACATCCAAATAATGAAGGTTAGCGAAATTGAATGTTGGTAAATAAGCAAAGCAGAAATTAATTGAAATCGTCCATTAATATTAACATGAATAAGAAATATGAAACTTATGACAAATTATATTATTATGGATTATGGATATACAGTGAATGATATGATTCATTTTTGGGAGAATTATGACGAGGTCCAAACAAAAAAAATAATTATTAAAATAATCTCAATGATAAGTGAACAGTTAAAATTTTTTATCATTTTTCACAATGTAACTAATCATTGTTACTCAATTGTTATGGTATTTTTTCGTGAATATATTCTTTTCTTGAGATCTTGTAGTAATTTCCCTTCATTTTTCAAGTTTTATTGATTGAAGAGTTATGCGTAAAAACGTTCAAAATCTCCCATAACAGATTTTTATGTTTATGGGCCAAGCATAGATTGAGTAACATAGTAAACCACTCAAATTCCCAGGGGAACACAATAGAGAGATGCTGCTATTCCTGTGAACGAAATTTGTGTCAATGGGTTTATTTGTTGATTTTTGAGTTTGTCCAATCATTGGGTTGAAATTTGGATGATTCAGATTTTATGTTTCAATAAAATTATTAATAATAATTTAAATTATTAAAAATGAATAACTAAAATTGAACTACTAAATATTAGTCATGATAATTTAAAGAAGTAATAAAAAATATTTTATAAAATTATTTTATATAGGGTTAAGGTGTAAATTTGTTATAGAAGATTTCGTTCAGGAGTATTAGGTACTTAGAAGTTTTTTTAAGGATAAATTTATCTTGAAAGTTTAAAATAATAACAATTTTACCCTATATTATTAAAAAAAACTAACGTTAATTATTAAAATAATAATATTGACTGTTAAAATTTGTAATAATAAAGGGACAAAATTCCTATGATTTTAAACTTTTGAAGTAAATTTTCACACCAAAAAAAAAACTTTCAAATACTGAGTATTCTTAAGTGAAAACTTTAAAAGCAAATTTGTGACTTAACCATTTTATAAAATATGAAATATAGACCATTCGAATTTTAATCTAATGTTTAATATAGGAAGGAGGAAAGGAAAAATGGAGAGAAGCCAAATCCGCCTCTAAAGCTTCAGCAATGCTGAGGTGAAAGTGGTACTTATGGTTAAAATATTTTCCAATAGCACATTGTATTAAGGGTAGAATTACACTTTAATCCTTAACTCTTAATTTTATGTTTTACAAGTTTACAACCTCTAATTTTTAATATAAAATTTGGTTTATAGCCTTAATATGAGATTTAGTTTAGGGAAAATCCCAATTAAATCCATCTGAAATAATGAAATTCTAATTAAGGCTTATACTTTTAACGAATTCCTAATTAGGCTAAGAGGCCTAATTAGGGATTTTCAAATGTTGCTGAAAGACCGGAATGCCTCTTTGTAATAAAAAAGGAAAATTGAAAGTAGGTGTAAATATGATTTTAGTTTTAATTATTCTAGTATATTTACTAATGAGGACGTGGTCTTTCTTAGATTTTATGTCAAATGTGTGTTTTGTAATTGTGAATGTTATGTCAACTCTAGAATTTATGGCCTTTTAGTTTTTTTTAATATAATAAAAATTTGATATTGAATAAATTTTGGAGACCAAAAATTGAAGATGAATTGATGAGTCTCAATGTAAGTTGTGAAATAGTAAAATTAATTTTGATAGATATTCAACAATTCCATGAATCTTTGATTTGATTTTTTCTCGTACAAAAAAAAAATTGATCTTGTTAATCTTTTACATTTGAAATCGTAAAATTTTTATTAGTTCCCATATTTTTGCAATTCTATAGATATCTAGAAATTATATATTGTTTTATCTTGAGTTTTCAATTAATTTTTATTGGTCATAATCATGATTTTTCTTTTTCTTTTTTTTTATATGATAATGTTTTTGGCCAAATTTTCATGTAATAATGTTTAAAGAAAAAACATGTTAGTTAAATTCAATTAAAAGAATTAAAACTAAAATTAGGCTTTTTAATTATGAAGGGTATTTTGGTCTTTTAGAAATATTTAAAAATTCCCAATTAGGCCTCTTGGACTAATTAAAAATTTGTTAAAAGTGTAGACTTAAATTAGAATTTTGCTATTTCAAATAGATTTAATTAGAATTTTCCCTTTAGTTTATAGTTTAATTTGAATTATAAATTAGATTTTATATTAAAAATTGAATGTGGTATAATGTTAGATCAAGCGAAATATATAGAAAAATAAAGTAAATTATATGTGATGGACAGATTCCATTAAGTAATGTATTAATAAAACATTTTTGGTCCATGATGCAATGGGTAAAAAATTAGAGAGAATTACAATCAAATTTTATAGAAGAGAAATAATTATTGAAAAGTTCCAATAGCAATCTGAAGAGCATGATAACCTCTGAGAGTTATTTTGTAATTTTTTTTTATGGGATTTGATTGTAATTCTCCTAAAAATTATTATTATATATATATATATATATATCATATAATGGAAAATCATTCATGGTAAAAAAAAAAAAAGGAAATAAAAACTTGGGGCGCGACGATCTCTTCATGCCAGCCTCCACTTAAACTTGTAAAATACTCTGATTCAGTCGCTACAGCTTTAATTCTTCTGAGTTGCCAACCATGAATGCTGCACCATTCCTTCCCGAAGAAATCACCACCAACATCCTCAAGCAGCTTCCGGTGAAATCCCTAATTGGATTTCAATGTGTCTGCAAACATCGGAAAAATCTCATCAAGACCCCATCTTTCATCGCCGATCACCTCCGTCACTCCACTCATCACAACCCTTCTGTTCTTCTATAATTTCGGACTTGATCCTTTGCAGATACATTCGCTCGATTGCGAGATGCAAGTCCGTCATGTTCAGAAGCTACCTCCGTTCAGTTCCATGCGGGCCCGCTTCGTTAGCCTCATTGGTTCCGGCAATGACTTGCTCTGTGCTGCAAACCGTGAGTCTACCTTTCCCATGCCTGGTTTTCTTTTTGGATTCCTGCGACTAGAGATGTTAGAGAGGTGCCTAGATCTAGAGTGGATAAACGCGTGCTAGGATTTGGGTTCAGTTCATTTGTTGACGATTACAATATAGTGACAATTGATGCTAAAAGTTGTAGAGCGCAAGTCTATTCTTTAAGGAGAGATTCATGGAAAGAAACGGAATTTGGGAACATATTAGAGAATGTAACTATTTTTGGTGAAACTGTGGTCTCCTCTGATGGTGCTATGTTTTGGAATGGGTTAAAACGGGGCAACGAGAGGGTTGGAGGGAGGAAGAATTCACAGTCTCATTTGACATGGCAAAGGAAGTACTTGGTTTCATGCCATGCCCTATAGATTGTGGGAATTCATATTCATATCTTAACTTAACCGTGTACAAGGACAAACTTGCTGTACTTGATATTCATACTGGAGCCTTTCGAAACTTTGATTTGTGGGTGATGGGGGAAGACATTGGTTCATGTGAAAAGAGATGGAGTTGAACTACGAAATTCAGTGGCCGCCGGAATGAAATTATCATGTCTGCAGTTGAAACTCAATGTAAAATACTGAATATAAACCCAAAAAAAATGGTCTGTGGCTGTTTAATGTCACCACTAATGAATTTAAGATCTTGGTTGTCCCTAGACATGATTATGTAATTTCCTTGATTACGTGGAAAGTCTTGTACCAGTTGTCAAGCATCCACAACATCCAAGAACCTTGATTTGAAATGTTCATTATCGTGCTGCAGCTTTGCTTTGTTTAAATAATTTAGCTATGTTATCTAGGACGATGAATTCAAGTTTTGAAAACTTTACGTTTCTTTTATTTTATTTGACACGTTTATAAATGCTTGTTTGATATCACTCAGAAGTATTTATAAATACGATTCATATAAGTCGAGACAAAATTATTCTTCGATAATTACTTTGTATTGTATAAATCACAATTAAAAAAACTATTTATTTATAGATGGATATATAACAGGAGCATTATTTAAATGCTAGTGTATGGGTACAACTCAGCACACCAAGATTGTTTGTCTATGCTTTTTTTGCATGGAGTATATCAATAGCTTATCTTGCATTAGAGAAGATGAATACGCGATCTGATGTCACTCTGCGTTGGACTCTCCAGAAGCTTAATTGACTGAAAGTCAAATATGTTCGGAAGGTTGACTTCCTGAGGATTCATGTCCTCGGTATTAATAAATTAATAGATATTATTTAAAAATTAATTTAATCTTTGATTTCAGTTTTATCATATGGATAATCAACTTGAATATTTTTGAGCAAAAATCTATCTATCATGTGTGATCTTAAATAATGAAAAATATGTGTCTTGCAGGTGCAGGTGCTGCAATAATTAAGTTAAAATTTGATATACATTTAAATAGTTTAACTTTTAGTTAATTTTTTAAAAATGTGGGAGGAAATATAGATGACATAGCAAGCGTAAAATAATATACCAGTATAACTTTTGAAATATAAATAATTTTGAAGCATAAATATTTTAATTATAATAATCCTTAATTAAAGTGTATAAATAAATGATAATAACAATAGGATATATGGCTTGAAAAACTTCACACAATAAATATAAGAAACTAAACATAACTATTTTTTCAGATAAGTTCATGAGAAAAACTTTTTAACAGTAATTTGAAATTTTTCATCTTGATTATAAATGAAAAATATCACTGGTTGAAAAAATCCCGGTTTTCTATGAATTTATTTCTTTTATATTTATTTATTACTAAAATGTAAATATAAATATGTCAGTGGTCAAATGCTTTATTATTTTGAAATTTATGCGGATATATTTAAGATTTGAAATTATTGTTTAAGATCACATTATTATGGTATGATCTCTTCTTTCTTTTTTAAATTTAAATGCTTAGTTTTTGCGCTAAACCGATAAAAGTAACAAAATTTAAAAGGGGTAAACCCTATCAAATGCTCCAATTTGATCGCGACGACGGCTTTTCTTCTTCCGCGGCGACAATCATGAATCAGACGGTGATCAATGGCGCCGCACCATTCCTTCCGGAAGAAATCATGATCAACATTCTCAAGCGGCTTCCGGTGAAATCCCTAATTCGATTTCAATGTGTCTGTGAACGTTGGAAAAATCTCCTCCAGTTGCCATCTTTCATTGCCGATCACCTCCGCCATTCCCGTCATCGCAACCCTTCTCTTCTGTTCTTCGACACTTTCCGACCTGATCCTCTGCAGATACATTTGCTGGATTGCGAGATGCAAGTCCGTGATGTTCATAAGCCACCTCCGCTTGGTTCCTTCCAGTCCTGCTGCGTTAGCGTCATTGGTTCCAGCAATGGCTTGCTCTGTGTCCAAACCCGTGAGTGTGGCTTTTCCTTGTCTCCTTCCCTTTTATTGTGGAATCCGGCGACTAGAGATATCAGAGAGGTACCTAGATACAGAGTGTATAAATGTGTGTTAGGATTTGGGTTCAGTTCATTTGTTGATGATTACAAGATAGTGGCAATTGATCGTAAAATTTGCAGAGCGGGAGTGTATTCATTAAGTAGAGATTCATGGAAAGAAATAGAATTGGGGAACATCTTAGAGCATGTAACTATTTATAGGGAAACTGTGGTCTCTTCTAATGGAGCTATCTTTTGGCCTGGGTTAAAACCAGGCGAGGATAACAGGAAGGAGGGAGTTATAATTTCATTTGACATAGCAACGGAAATTCTTACTTTGATACCATGCCCTTCAGATCACAGGGATTCATATTCATCTTTTAACTTAGTTTTGTACAAGGACAAACTTGCTGCACTTGTTAGTGGAATTGGGGCCTCTCGAACCATTGATTTGTGGGTCATGGAAGAAAACATTGGTTCATCTGAAAATAGATGGAGTTGGACACAGAAATTTATTGGCATCTCTTGTCCTTGGACGTTGTATTTTGGGGCCATTTGGAGGGATGAAATTGTTATTCCTGGAACTGAAACTCAAGGTAAAGTACAGAAAAGTAGTGGTCTATCTCTCTTTAGTCTTATTACGAATGAATTTAAGGTGTTGGCTATCCCCAAACCTGATTATTGTAATTTTCTTAACTATGTGGAAAGCCTTGTACCCGTTGCTAACATCAAGAAAATTGAAGGAACTTGATTTTAAAGGTGCATTATTATGCTGCAGAATTACTATGTTTGAATAATTTTTGGTAGAAGTGAATCCCATGGCATTTTAGCTGTTCGTTTTGTACTTATTGCAAGGTCTGATGCCATTTGTTCCTCTTATCTAGAAGATAAATTTAAAACGCACTGGATTAATATGATCTTTGATTTCTCAAATTTCTCATCATTTTAGTTTTAGTCCTTAAGTTTTAAACTATAAGTTTTGATTTCTTAGAAGCAAAATAATTTATATTTTTATTGGATTATACAGACCAATATTTTAAACGAAAAAAAATTTGATGAATCAAAACATATGGTTTGAAACTTAAGGGACCAAAATCAAAATGAGAGTAAATTTGAAAAATCAAAGTTTGTATTAATTCTAATGCATTTATAAATGAGAATTCAGGTTGTCCAGTCTCACTTGAATAAAACTTATATTGATGAATCAAATAAAACTGAATTTAAGTAATTATATCAGGAATATAACTTGTAGAAAAAATGACAAAAAATACCTATCAAATTTCAAAATGACAAGTGGGTCATTTTGACATATTTTAACTTCTTAAAACTATTATAAGAATAGTTAGCATCACCTATCTATTTTATTAAAATTCAACAAACATTTTTCTATTATTTTTTTCTAATTTATACTGCGTTCATAGGTACTAATGGATTTGTAACATGATAATCTAACTCAAGTAACAGTTGCAACATGTTAAAAGGTGATTTAAAATAAATATGAAGCTCTTAAATATATTATATTAATTAAAATATTTTTTAATAGTACAAGGTATTAAAGGTATAATAACTTTTTTACTCCTTAACTCTTAACTATGTACTCCTCTGGTCCTTGTAAAATTTAATTAGAGAGTTGATATTGTTCCTATATATAAGACCTATTTCATATGTTTATCAGTTTTTTTTAAAATTAACCCTATTAATATTTCTTAATAATAATCAAGTCGAAGGAAATGAGAAAATTAAAAAATAATAATTAGGGTGTTTAAAAAAATCATATTAACTAATTTAATTAATATATTTAATTTATTTAAATTAGTTAATTACATTAACCGGAGGAGTATTATAATATTACATCAAGTGAAAGTTATAAAAGATATTGTCAATTATACACGATGTACCTATTCCAATAAGTAATGTGATAATAAAACTTTGACCTAATGAGTCAAAAAAAGTATTCTATATTCTTATTATCGAATCAAAGAAAGTATTCCAATTTTGTAATTAAATTCAAATTTTGAAATTGATTTCATTGGCGATACTTATGGCAATATGGCATGATTATGATGATCTTTTTTATATTTGATATAATATAAACGTAAATTTTCACATTGATTAAAAAAAAGATAATATTTATATCAAATTATTTATAGTTATTATGTTAAGTGCTTTAACCACACCTGATTTTGTGTCATATTTAAAAAATACTACCTCTGATATTTAATATAAGACCTTGCTTGAGTTTTATTCTGATCCTAAATATAAAATCCCAATCTATTTTGTCTATCATATTTATATATTTTTTTTCAAGGTAGCCCTTCTAATAATGATAATTCTAACCAACACACTTAATTAACAAAGATATTTTAAGAAATAAAACACATATTTATTACAGATAACTAACTTAACTTCTTTCTTTAATTTTCTCAAATTAGTCAACTAGCTCTTATAATTAGGACCGGAGGTAGTAATACTCTTTCAGTCTTTAATATAAGATCTATCTAGCTAATTTGATTAGATCAAGGAAGTTAGATAAATTAGTTAGTTATAAATGACATGTTTTTTTTAAAGTACCATAGTCATCTTCCTTAATATCATATCTTCCTCTCTTACTTGATTATGGTTGAGAGAAATCCATATGGGTAATTTAGGAAAAATCGATAAACATAAGAAATAGGTCTTATATTTAAGACCAAAATTAACTCAATAATTAAGTTTTATAAGGACCAGAGGACTATCATTTAATTAAAAACTCATATAAAAAAGTAAAAGCCATGTCCATATGTGATTGAAAAACCGAACATAATAAATAAATAATAGGGACTTGATCTAAGTATTTTTCTAATAAAAAATATAGAATAACTTGTTTAGCTCGTTAGGTCAGCATTTTATTAATACTATCTCCGGTTCTTAATATTAGAACTAGTTTGACATTCAACTTAGTTCTAAATATAAAATCTCAATTCACTTTGTCTCTAATATTTATTTATTTTTTTAAGGTACTTTTGTAGTGGTTATACATGTTAAAATATCCTTGCTAATATGCATGATTAGCAAGAAATTTTTAAAAAAGACAACATCTATTTATTATAAATAACTAACTTAACTAATTTTTTAATATATTCAAACCAGTCAATTAACTCTTATATTAGAAATTAGAAATAAGAGATAGTACGTCACTTATTGGAATATCCTCCCCCTGCACTATTTACCGCCTTAGGCATGAGAACCCCCACTTCCACCAGGAGACGAACCTTTAGAATTAAGGTTGGCAATTGGTACAAGGCTTTCCACATAACTAGAAAACCCACGGAGAGTCATGTCCGGAGATAACATGCATCTTAAATTCATTTGTGAGATTGAACAGACATAGACCACTTTATGGTTTGCTGTTCAGTATTTTATTATGAGTTTCAGTTCCAGACGTGACAATTTCATTCCTCCAAATGATCCACCCAACATATAACGTCCATGTTAAAGGGCCGCCGGCGAACTTTCCAGGGACTGTTTAAGTAAAACAAAATTATACTACCTCCTCTCCTTAATATAATATTCTGTTTTATTTTTATTTTGGTCTTAAATATAAAACTCCAATCCACTTTTTTTCTCATATTTATATTTTTTTTTCAAAATAGCCCTTCTAACAATGATAGTTTTAGTCAATACACTTGATTAGTAAGGATATTTTAGGAAAAACGACACCTATTTAGGAGAAATAACTAACTTAACTTACTTCTTTAATCTCCTCAAATTAGTCAACTGACTCTTATAATTAGGACCGAAAGTAGTAGTTTTACAAGTGTTGTTACAGTTTTAAAAGTATTTTTACAGTGTAAAAAATAAATATACAAAGAAATTTACTTCAATTTATAAAAAAATATTTTTTAAGAGTATTTTTTGAGCTATCCAAACACTTGTTTAGTCCAACTCCCTCTTCCCCCTGTGGGGCCAACGCCTTGTGAAATTTTGAAGTTGATTTCCTTGGTGATTCTTGTGGCAATGTGGCATGATTGCGATAATCTTTGTTTTTTTTTAAATTGAATTTTTTCCAACATATTTTAAATCCGTGACTGAAAATTAAAATGATTTTTATAATAGCAATAATTTATATATTCAATCATCAACCAATCACCAATATATATTTCTCTAAACCTTGTATTAATCCAATATGAATTTTAAAAAATTCCTAATTAGTCCCCTAAATCTAATTTGGAATTTGTTAATAGTGTAAGCAGCATGATTCGATATGAATTTGAATATTATAATCAGATTTAGTTGAGATTTTCCATTGATTCAGCAAATTTGTACCAACGGTGGCTTGATTTGATGATCAAATAACTGATAATCGTATTGGTCTTTTATACTCTCTTGATTAATATTTCCTTTTTCACCAAAAACCTAATGATATTGATAATGATGACTCTTGCTCTCCTTCAGGGTTTGTTTGGTTGGAGGGGAGGGGAGGGCAAATGAGCCCCTCCCCTAGTTTGGTTAAAAATTTTGAAGGGAAGGAAAGCTAAAATATCCATTCCCCTCCCTTCTCTTTCTCCATTTTGGCTCCCTTTCAAATTGGGGATTTTTGAAGGGAAATCAAATTTTTGGACAATTATGTTTTTATAGTTTTTTTAATATTCTACTTCTACCCATAAAATATATTATTATAATATTTATTTCAAATAAAAAATATATTATCCTAAGTAAAAAAAATAAAAAATATACACATTACTATAATTAAAAATATATTATATAAAATTATTTAAAAATTAAAAATTATTTAAATAAAAAAATTATAATATTATAAAATTAATTGTTTTTTATAAATATATTATTTATTAAATATATTTTAAAACTGGAAAAAAAGATAGCCTAAAGAGAATAAAATTTCATTTTTCTTAGAGTATATAAAATTTGTTAATTTAATTATTTTAAATATATTATTATATTAATTAGAATAAAAAATTATTGTACTAATTTTTTAATACACATGTTAACATGATAAGACTGAATTTTTATTAAATTATATGATTTAAATTAAGATATAAATTAATTTATATAATATATCAATAAAAAATATAAATTAATATGTAAGGGTAAAATAGTAAATTGATTATTACTATCCCTCTCCTCTCCTCTTTGAATCAAACAAGAGATCATTAAATATCCTCCCCTCTTTTTTTTTTTTAATCAAATCAAACAGGACATGAAACCTCCCCCCTGTCCCCCCTTCCCTTCCACCTCTCAAACGAAACAGGCCATCAAGGTTTTCATTCTTTAACCATACAGGCCCTCGATGTTTTCATTCTTTAACCATAAACACTTTCTTCAATCCTGGGGAAAAAGAGACGATCTGGTTATCCAGTGAAACCTAAATTGTTCTCATTTGATAGCGGCGGCTTTGCTTCTTTTGGGTCGATCACCATGAGGCGGATGGTGATGAATGGCGCGGCACCATTCCTTCCCGAAGAAATCATAATCAACATTCTCAAGTGGCTCCCGGTGAAATCCCTAATGCGGTTTCGATGTGTCTGCAAGCGTTGGAAGAATCTCTTCAAGACCCCATCTTTTATCGCCGATCACCTCCGCAATTCCAGTCATCATAACCCTTCTGTTCTGTTTTTCCGGACTTTTGGATTGGATCCTTCGCAGATACGTTTGCTTGATTGCGAGATGCAAGTCCGTGATGCTCTTCCTTTCGATTCCTTGGGGTTCAGACACCTTAGCATAATTGGTTCCAGCAATGGCTTGCTTTGTGTTGCAATTCATGAGAATGATTTTCCCTTTTTATTGTGGAATCCGGCGACCAGAGATGTCAGAGAGGTGCCTCGATCCAGCACTATCGATTGTTATCGGTTAGGATTTGGGTTCAGTTCATTTGTTAATGATTACAAGATAGTGGCAATTTATCGTAAGATTGGTAGAGCGGGAGTGTATTCATTAAGGAGAGATTCTTGGAAAGAAATAGAATATGGCAACATTTTAGATTTTGTAACTATTTATCGTGACACTAGGGTCTCCTCTAATGGAGCTATCTTTTGGAATGGATCAAAACGATGTGAGGAGAGGGAGGAGGGAGCTATAATTTCATTTGACATAGTGAAGGAAGTGTTTACTCTAATACCACGGCCTACACTTCAGGAGGATTCATATCTTTACTTAACCGTGTACAAGGACAAACTTGCTATGCTTTATTGTGGAGTTGGGGCCTCTCCAAACATTGATTTGTGGGTGATGGAGGAAGACATTGGTTCATCTGGGGAGAGATGGAGTTGGACTAAGAAATTCACCGGTGGCCCTTGTCCTTGGACGTTATATTTTGGGGGCACGATTTGGAGGAATGAAATTGTCATGTTTGGAACCGAGACTCAAGATAAAATAGGGAATAAAGAACCAGAAAGTGGTCTCTGTTTGTTCAAGCTCACTACTAATGAATTTGAGATGGTGGTTGTCCCCAATCACGGCTCTTGTCGTTTTCTTAATTATGTGGAAAGTCTTGTACCTGTTGGCAACATCCTCAACATTGAAGAACCTTGGTTTTAAAGGTTTATTATTATTCTGCAGATTTGCTTTATTTAAATAATTTTTGGTAGAAATGGATCCATGTCATTTTAGTTCATTTTGTACTGGCAACGCTTGATGCCATTTAGCGATGTTATCCAGAACGATGAATTGAAATTTTGAATACTTTATGTTTCTCATTTTATTTGACCTATTTATAAATCAAGGTGTTCTCTTAAGTCTCTGTTTTCCAAATTTTTATATGGGTATATCATAAAAGCATTATTGAATGCATTCTTTGGTTCGGAGGTTTTTAAAAGGAGAAGGGAGGAGATGAACAGTTGTATTTGGTTTAGAAAAATAGAAGAATTGTCATTTAGTGCTTTCCTCCCCTCCTTCTACTTCCCTCCAAATTTAGAGTTTTTTAGAAAGGAGAAAAATATTATATCTGACTGAATTACTCATATTATTTTTTTTTTTTTAATAGCAAGGCAAGCTTAAGCTTGAAGCGGGTTACAAAAGTAACTATCTACCTAATGGAGTTAGCCTCCCGAATAGCACTCTCCAAATCAAGATGGAGTTGGGTCAGACAAAAGTCAGGAGGACTTGTTAACAGTCTTATATCAGTAGAGTTCCCATGAGCTTCCGTAGCCAGATGATCTGTGCACGTCAAAGCTTCATGATAAACATGCGTAATTTCTATGTCCCAAACATCTGAAATAAGGGATCTAATATCCATGATCTCCATTCTCAGCAGATGTGTCCCTTCACAGCCATATAGTACCAATTGAAAAGCTTCAATCGAGTCGGTGAATAATGTCACTTTTCCATATTTGAGGCTCTTGCAGAGTTGCAGTCCCTTGTATATTCCTATGACTTCTGTTGCAATCGTCGAGGCATATCCCAAGTTCTTCTGAAAACCCACTATCCATTTCCCTTTGTCATCTCTTAGGACACCCCCACATGCTGCCTGGTTTTGCTCTTTAACTGAACCGTCTACATCAACTCTTACGTAGCCTGTAGGTGGCAGTTCCAAGTGACAGATCGCTCTATCAGAGATTTGCAGCACTTGGTGTAAGTACCATCCGTTCTCCACTCCCTCTAGCAAGAGGAGTGCGCATCTTTGGGCAATAACCTTCGGGTGTTCAGCAGCTCCTTCAAAAGCTTGTTTACATCGGTTTTTCCATATGAGCCAGCGTGCAATTCCAAACATCTTCCTCCAGGGCCACCGTGCAAACTTTGCGTTTCCCATTTCAAATCTATCGTTCCTCCTCAGCCAATCCTGCATGTTACCACTAAAGAATGCATATATATATATATATATATATAAAGGGTTACATATTACTTTTTATATATACCAAGTTTGCCCTTTTTATTAAAAACCCCTTTTTTACTTCTATTTCTTAAGCTTTCTCATCTTAATAATACAACTTATTTTTCAGTTCAATGGAACACATGATATTCATATGTATTTTATTTTCGTAAGACTTTAATAAATCAATGTGTTACAATCTTTTGATAATGGTAAGACTTTAATAATTTCAAAATCATCTAATTAGACGATATGGATTGAGATATTTTATTTTTAAATGAAATAATATTTTTTAAAGAATTCATATCTATATCACAAAATTGTATAATGATATTTGATAATAATGATATGATTTTTTTTTCATGATTATACTATTTTTCTTGAGATAATATGACAAGTATATATTCTTTATGATATGTATATTTGATAATAATAAAAAAAATATTATGTATGATATGTATATATTTTATAAATATGTAAACATTTTATATATATATGTGGGATAACTTGTTTTTTTTAATATTCATAAATTAGAAAATAATAATTCTGATATAAATATTGTAGTAAAATAATAAAAAAATCTAACCAAAGAAATAAGGACATATTCGTTAACTTCTAATTAGTTCTCCTTTCCTTTCCTCCTAAACCAGAGATAAAACATTCCTTCCTTCCCTTTTCCCTCAAACCAAACAGCACTCATAACCTTTTCTCACCTCCACTCTTCTCCCCTTAATTAACCTCCCATCCCCTCCCCTTCGTTGAACTAAAGTGCTAGTTTAAGTATTAGTTGCTTTTCTTGCATCAGAGGAGATGAATACAAAATCTGATGTCACTCTGCATCGGCCTCTTCTTAGATTTCCTTCCATATTCTTTATCCATTTTGATTGAGTTCACGAATATTGGGAAAATAAGTCAAGCATAAATTAGTCGAAATCATCAGTAAGTATTAATATGAATATGAAATATGAAACTTGTAACAAATTATATTATTTTGGGAGAGTGAATAATACGATTCATTTTTCAAGCTTCATTGGTTGAAGAACTGTTCGTCCAGTAAAGAATTGTACTTCAAAATCTCCCTTAAAAACCAAAAAATTGGAGAGAGAGATTTGATTATTTGATTTTTTTTTATTTATTGTAAATATGGCACACGAAGTGAGAAATTTCTTTTGGGGAAAAATTATTTTTATTTAGGAAATTGTAAAAATGAAGATAGTGCGATTTATATAGAAAGTTTTTTGTTTTAAAGAGAAAAAAATCAATGCAATGTTGCACTTAATGATAGCTAAGGATTAAGAGATTATTGTTTGCTCAAAGATAAGTGGAATTACATGAGGTTGTTGCATGGGGAGGTTTCCGATTTACATGCGGAACGATCCTTAATAGTAGAAGCTAAAAGCGTGGTGCAATGGAGCTGGTCGGTGTCACTCCAAACCTTCCACGTGAGAAAAATGTGAGGGCGGACCTTCTCGCTCGTGCTGCTCTGTCGTCCAACCTTGGTTTGCAAGTGTCGAGTGGGGACACAGTAGAGCGCCTCATTCAAATGGACAATGGGGACTCGCCCCTAGATGTTAGTTTTCTTTTCCTTTGTATCAAAAAAAAAAAAAAGATAAGTGGAATTATACTGCAATGTTAATGAGGGAAGTTTTCGGCGAAAAAAATGTTAATGAGGTTTGAAATGGCAACATTATTTGGTCAAATATTTAATCAGACACGGAATATTCAAAGTATATTTATTGATGAAATTATGCTTTTACATCCGGCAGATGCAAATATAAACTTGGCCACTTCTTCCTCGAGTCTCGTGGAATCCTAAAAAATAATAACCCTGGCTGCTAAAGTAAAAAAAAAAAATTAAGGTGCGCCCAGCATCCAGAACTATTTTCTCAGGTACGTCCAGTGTCTTAAAGTAATTTTCGGTGCATCCAGCGTTCCAAACTAATTAAAACGGTGCATCCATATCCCAAGCTAACAGAAAAGTTAAGTTTGACCGTTGTCTTACTGACTCAACGGAAGGTTGACTGAAAAATCCTACATGGCGGACACTTAAGTATCTGATGTGTATTATTTTGACGGGTTAAAGTACGCCCAACACCCCGAACTATTTTTCCAAGTACGCCTAGTGTCCCAAAGTAATTTTTGGTGCATCCAATGTCCCATACTAATTAAAACGGTGCATCTATATCCCAAGCTAACAAAAAAGTCTCGTTTGACCGTTACCTTGCTGACTCAGCTGAAGGTTGACCGAAAAATCCTATATGGCAAACACTCAAGTGTCTGATGTGTATTATTTTGACTAAAGCTCTCGAGATGAGCCCGGTGGCAACATGTGTTTTCTTGAGCGATGACGACGATGTCGACAAAGCAACCAAGGGGAAGTTTATTGTGTTTTACAAGGAGGAAAGCAAATACGAGTCGGATGAGGAGTTGACAGAGACAGAGATGGAAGTGTGCTGTGACGGCGGTTGTGGTTTCAAATCGGAGTGGTGGAAGAAATGGTATAAAATGTTAAAGATGAGAATGAGATTAAATGGGTGGTACATGTACCAAGATTTAAAAGGATGGATCGGCAATCTTTCTTTTTCTTAAGTTTAAAAACTGACAAAAGATAAATGTTAGAAGATGAAGAAATAAATTGAATTTTTAGTCAAAATAATACATATCAGGCGCCTGAGTGTCCGCCATATAGGATTTTTCCATCAACCTTCAGCTGAGTCAGCAAGGTAAGGGTCAAATGAGACTTTTCTGTTAGCTTCGGATATGGATGCATTGTTTTAATTAGTTTATGACATTGGATGCACCAAAAATTACTTTAGGACACTGGGCGTACCTGGGAAAATAGTTCGGGGTGCTAGGCGCACCTTAACCTGTCAAAATAATACACGTTAGACGCGTACGTGTCTATCACGTAGGATTTTTTAGTCAACTTTCGGCTGAGTCAGCAAAGTAATGACCAAACTTAACTTTTCTATTAGCTCGGGATATGGATGCTCCGTTTTAATTAGTTTGGGACACTAGATGCACTGAAAATTACTTTAGGACACTGGGTATACCTGAGAAAATAGTTCAGGGTGTTGAGCACACCTTAACACTATAAAATCTAGGAATTTAAGCAAGTGTAACTATCGTTTGTGAGTGACTGAGTACAACATATTATTAATAATGTGTAATAATTATCAATATAGAAGTTATTTGCACACAACTAAAAATATATCATGTATAACAAAAAATATCCTGTACTCACATATCATATTTGTACGCGTTCAAATTTAGTTTCCAATTAAATTTTGAAGTTGAGATTTTCTACCAATTTTCCCTAAAATCCCTAAAATCGTCTTCGACGTCTTCCGTCGTCGAGATTTCCTTCTTCTCTCAGTCAACAGGATATTGCATTGAATCCTCAGCCCCTGATTTCTTCAGCTTTCCTTTCGGAGATGTGTTCTTTCCAGTCGTGCACTATGAAGCAAATGGCAGTGGATCGCAAGACGCCATTTCTTCCGGAAGAAATTATTAGAAGCATTCTCAAACGCCTCCCTGTAAAATCCCTAATCCGATTTCACTGCGTGTGCAAACATTGGAAAGATGTTATCAAGACACCATCTTTCATCGCTGACCACCTCCATCACTCCACTCATCAAAGCCCTTCTCTTCTGTTCCAAGAGAATGACAGACATCCGTTGCAGTTACGCTTGCTCGATTGTGAAATGCAAGTCCGTGAAGTTCGGAACACTCCTTTGATTGATTCGTCGTCATGGGTTAAGATCATTGGTTCCAGCAATGGCTTGCTCTGTGTTGCAATCAATGAGGCTGACGTATATCCTGCTTCCATTTTATTGTGGAATCCTGCTACTGGGGAGATCAGACAGGTGCCTAGAACCAGAACTATCGATCGTTTCGATTGGGATTGCACGGTAGGATTTGGGTTTAGTCCAATTATTAATGATTATAAGATAGTGAGAACTTATGCTGAGTCTGGTTATGTTATTTCTGGAGTGGAAGTGTATTCATTAAGCACGGGTTCATGGAAAGAAATAGAACTTGGGAACTTAGAGAATGTGAATCTTTATCTTCAAACAGTTTCCGCCAATGGGGCTATCTTTTGGAATGGGATAAAGCTAGGTGTGGAAGAGGGTGGTGAAGATGATACTGATTTGATAGTCTCATTTGACATAGCAATGGAAGTGTTTACATTGATACCGATGCCTAATTCATTTTCTAAACTTGGAGTATATGATGACAAACTTGCTGTACTTTCTCACTCTAGGATTGGAGACTTTCCAAACTATCTATGCTCTTTTATCGATTTGTGGGTGCTTGAGGAGGGTATAGGTTCATCTACTAAGAGATGGAGTTGGACTAAGAAATGTACTTGTGGTCCCCTCCCATCCGCGTTAAATCTTGGAGTCATCTGGAGGAATGAAATTGCCTGTGTTGCTTTTGGAAAGCCTAGGCTTGTTAGTGAAACTAGAGATGAAATTGAGAATGATGAACCAAAAATTGGTCTATATTTGTTTAGCATCACTACTAATGAATTTAAGATGATTGCTATCCCTGGGTGTGGCTCTGGTCGTGATGTTTTCAATTATGTCGAAAGCCTTGTACCACTTGGCAACAACCACATTGAAGAACCGTGATTCTAAAGGTTAATCACCAGAATGCAGATTTACTTTTGTTTAGTTATTTTTGTTGGAAAAGGGATCCATATTTGTTTAGATCGTTATGTACCTATAAGGTTTGATGCTCTTTAGAGATGCTATTTAGAAGGATGACTGTAGATATTCAATACCAGATGCCTCTTGTTCTATTTGACCTATGTATAATATTATGTCGTTCACCACTGCCCTACCATAATCCACCTTTTTTTCCCATGCTTTTGCAACAAGTATTGATTGCCTGACTTCCATAGGTGATCCATATTTGCAGTTGTGATTTGCAATTTACTCTTATATCAAACAATGAAAAATATAACTCTTGTCAGAAGATCATGGGATGATTATGAGATTTTTCCCTTAGGCTTATAAAACAATTCCTTAAAAAAATCATATTAGCACGGTAAAATATTTGTAGAAATGCTGCCAAAAATAAGGAACAACAGATAATCGTCATTTTTAACAAAGGTGTATAATGCTTTTAAGTGCGTCCCCGTCAGAGTTGCTGGGGGTCTGTTATTTCAGCTCTTGGGAATTAGTTGATGAAGATGACATCCCCATTGTCACTGCGTCTTGGCAAGTGCAAAGCTTCCTAGCTGCTGCAATTCATATAAAAGGAGCAGGGTCAGCTCACAAGTGTACATGTTCTGACAATCATACAAGCACAGCTTGTAAATATCAAGTACTGTGATTATTGTATAGAAGCCATTCATTGATTGGAGAGTTACATGTCCAATGAAGATTTTACTTATAAATCTTCCATGATAGGTAAGATTGGAAACATAAGAATCTGGAAAGCGATGTGATAAAAACTTATCACATTAGAAATTCCAATCCTGCATCAAAAAACTCAGACTCGAAATGATTGATGAATGTCCAGAAAAGCTTGCCCCTTCAATTGATCTAACAGATCCTGCTTCCCCAAGATAATGTGGAACAAGTTCATATTTGTCCTGAACAAGTTCAGGAGGATACAGTCTGGACTACTCAGCAGTTAGTTTGCAGACGATGAAGATGATCTGACTGTGGCTGATGTGGCAGCTTCTTTTTGGGAGTGTCCAGCTGGGCCTATATTTCGGTGCTTTTTTTCTGCAAGGTCATTCTGGCGTTCAGGTTTGGCACAGCAATGCTCAACGGTTACATCCTGCCGTTAGCTCAGCTTTGAGAGGTAGAAGTTGGCTGATAAGTGACTGGATGAAACACCTCTTCTATGAGGTATATTGCTTTTATTTAGTACTGGTCTTACTGGCTCATGCTTGTCTTTCATGTAATTATCTGCCAATCATTAACTTGATCTGATTTTATGCTGATAATTTAGACGCAACAACATTAATAACTTAAATAATGAGGATGTTCAAAGTAACTGATTGTTATTTTGGGATTTTATGAGGCTCACAACAAGTTCTCAATATTTTATAATCGGACTGTACCCAAATCCCACACTGCAATACCACCTAACATTTCTGGTTCTAGGCACCTTTTTAACCTCCCCCCTAACTGTAGGATTCCACGATATGAAAGGCAGGAACGAAATTTATTCTTTACTTGCAAGACAGAGCAAGCCGTTGTTGGGATGCTCAAGTTAAATGTTGGCAAACAGAAGTTACAACTTGAATATAACAAATTGACAACTTTAATAGTTATTTCGAATAACAACTCAAGTTCCGTAAATTTTATTAATCATTCGCAAATGATGATGACAACTCCACTAACAATTAGCTAAAAGCTCAAATTATGAATTCTCGTTGATTGGCTGTCGGTGAGACTATTCATTAAGTCAATTTTCTATAATATTACCTCCGGTCCTAATTATAAGACCCAATTGACTAATTTGAGGAGATTAAGGAAGTAAGTTAAGTTAGTTATTTGTAACAAATAAGTGTTGTCATTCCTAAAATATCCTTGCTAATTAAGTGTGTTGGTTAAAACTATCATTATTAGAAGGATTATCTTGGAAAAAAATGTATAAATATGAGAGACAAAATAGATTAGGGTCTTATAATTAGGACCAAACTAAAAGTCAAACGGGGTCTTATATTAAGGACTGAAGGTAGTATGAAATAAGTTTTATTTAAAACGCATTTTTCACACATGATCATTTGTCTTCTAATACATTTGACATTAAAATCTCATAAATAATTTTAAATTAGTAATTTTCCAATAACGTAAAAAATAAATATTAATGATGAGTAACTGTGGCACGATTCATGTTTAAAAAAGAAAAACACTTTTTTGGCTAATTAAAAAATTAATTTAATTGTTCGACCAAAAAAATTAACTTGATTGAATAAAAAATATTTAGCATTACCCACTCCACTTAATATAAAAGCTAGTTAGAAATTTAATTTGATTTTGAATATAAGACTTGAATTTTTTTTTTTAATATTTATCCTTTTTACTTCAAAGTGATCTTTTACATGTGGTAAGAAATTTTCATGAAGAGGCACTTTGAATGCAAATATTTTTTTGGCTAAAATTGCAATACACATAATTAACAGAAATATTTTAAAAAAGATAATAACATTCATTACAAATAACTAATTTAATTAATTTTTTTAATATTAATAAGTTAGTTATTTGGTTTTTACTTTAAACATAGGATGTACTTTCTTTAATACCTAACAATTTATATATATTGGCAAAAAGGAAAAAAAAACTGATCTACTAGTAAAAATTTATCTTGGCAACAGCAACAGGATCCCTATTTAAAAATGTAATTGGATCAGAAAAAACTGATTTACTGGTAAAAATGTGCTTTCATTTTCAGCAAAAGCAAAATGGGAATATGCACTCGGGCCCACCCCGCCGGCTTTTCTCTAGTAACCCCGCCCTCTTCAGTCTCCTCCGGTAAGATCCCTCATTGATTGCGGCGGCTTTCCTCTGAGATTCCTTCTTCTCAGTCGACAGTTAAAAAGACAAGTTTTTCGCTTTGACTATCATCAGCCTCTGATCTCATTCGTTCTGCTTTCCTTTGAGAGGTCTGTTTTGCCAGTCTCGCACTATGAAGCAGACAGTGGTGGATGGAGACGCGCCATTTCTTCCTTCAGAAATTATTATAAACATTCTCAAACGGCTCCCTGTGAAATCCCTAGTCCGATTCCAATGTGTGTGCAAAGATTGGAAAAATCTCTTCAATTTCCCATCTTTCATTGCTGACCACCTCAACCACTCTGCCCATCATAACCCTTGTCTTCTTTTCCGACAGAATGATGGATGTGACCCTTTGCGCCTACAAGTGCTCGATTGCGAGATGCAAGTCCGTGAAGTTCAGAACCCACCTTTGATTGGTTCCTTGCGGTGCGTTAAAGTCATCGGTTCTAGCAATGGCTTGCTTTGTGTTGAAATCGAGCAGTCTCCTCCTTTACTTTTATTGTGGAATCCTGCAACCAGAGAGATCAGACCGGTGCCTAGAACCATAACTACTAATTATTTTGATTATGATAGCACTGTAGGATTTGGGCACAATCCAATCGTTAATGATTACAAGATAGTGAAAACTTTTGCTGAGATTGATTATGAAATTTCCTTGGTAGAAGTGTATTCATTAAGCACAGGTTCATGGAAGGAAATAGAGTTAGGGAACTTAGAGGGTGTACAACTTTTTGGTGATGCCTTTGCTGCTAATGGAGCCATCTTTTGGTATGGCCTAAGGCTAGGTGTGGAAGAGGATGGTGAAGATGATATTGAGGTGTTGGTTTCATTTGATATAGCGATGGAAGTGTTTACAGTGATACCAGGGCCTAGTCCAAGTTATAACCTTACTATGTATGAGGGGAAACTTGCTGCACTTTCTTCCTATGGGATTGGAGACTGTCCATACTATCAATACTATTTGTTTGATCTGTGGGTGATGGAGGAAGATATAGGTTCATCTGGGGAGAGATGGAGTTGGAGTAAGAAATATACTAGCATCCCTTGTTTACACCATTTACATCCTGGGACCATTTGGAGGAATGAAGTTGTCATGTCTGGAATTGTCGGTGAAAGTGAACATGGAGTGGAGAATAATGGACTAAAACTTGGTCTCTATCTGTTTAATGCCACTACGAATGAGTTTAAGATGTTTGCCATCCCTAGACATAACCCTATGTGTGATGTTTTCAACTATGTGGAAAGTCTTGTAGTGATAGGAAACATAGATATCGAAGAACCTTCATCCTGAAGGTCGATCATCATAATGCAAATTTACTTTTATTCAAATATTTCCGGCGGAATCTATGTTAGTTTAGATCATTCTGTACCTTTAAGCTTTGATGCCTTCTAGAGAAGCTATTTAGATCGATGGATGTAGACATTTGATATATTCCCTACTTTATTTGATCTATCTATAATATCATGTCGTTCTCCCCCCCCCCCCCAAAAAAAAAAAGACAGTTGTATAATGTTATTTAAATGCTGGTATATTCATCGTTTGGGAATATTTTTATTGGACATCTTCTAAGATTTCAATCTTTGTGCAAAGATTTCCTATCAATCTTTCATCACAGCTCACCTTCACCACTGATTTTCAGCAAATTTTAATTGCTTGACTTCCGTTAGTGATGCATATAAAGAGTTTTACTTCTATAACATAAGACGATCAATCATAATGATAGTTGTTGTTAGAACAACACTGGATCATTCTAGGATTTGTACTTCATTAGCTTTCTGCTTGAGATCAATATTTTAACGTTTTGTTTCATTGATGTAATCAATATTAAGAAAAACCAGCCTCAGACAGGTAGATAATAGGCGTAGGCTGCAGAATTAAAATTTTCTAGTTACAGATACAGTAGATCTTGAAGCATGATTAGGTATAAGTTTAATGACAGTCATATGTCAAGCTTATCTTTGTTATAGCGATGTTCTTTTATCTTAGTGGTTCTCGTGACCATGAATTCATTTGCAGAGTAACATGTAATTTTGAAAAGTCTGGCTTTTAAAACAATCGTCTCAAAGAATACTTGCTTGCTATATTTCTCATGATTTTGCAAAGTATTTTCTTACATTTATTTATTAGCTTCATCACATGTTGTAACTTTGTAAGCAACGATTTAAGGAGTTCTAATTGCACATTTCATGGATGACAATGAAAAGCTGTCTGCAGAAAACATTGATTCGCAATATCTGTATGTGATGTAACCCATTATCCGTGATGCGTATGATGCGCAGAATTTTCACAAATTAGGACACCCAATTTTTCAGAAAAATAGTTGAGGTAATGTAAAGTGCAATTTTGCTGGAAAAATTCGTCTCACATATTTGAGCATCTTTAAGATCATTACGATGCAACAAGGAGAAATGATATAAAGAAAGCACCAGATCACAAAACACAATGAGGCACAAAGCATAAATTATAAATGGTTTGAATTCTAATAGCCTGTCATAGAGCCAGGATGATGG